AAAAAAAAAGTAGATAAACAAATGGAACAGCAAGAAGAAGAAAAATGAATGTTATCGAAGATAACATAAATCAATAAGAAATAAAAAGAAATTTTGTGTAGCAGACAACAAAGATAGGCCAAAAATAAAAATAAGAAAAATATATAAACCAATAAAATTCCTAGCCAATCCTTAGGAAACAAGGCAAAATCACAGTAAAATCTCATGCCACTTTGCTTTCCATATCCATAATTATAAAAACCTGGGATTGCTTTAAAACTAAACTGTGAAACATGTCCTATATTTGTAACTTAATACAGAGATAAATTAATAGCATTCATGGCCAACAACTAACTAATATAGACAAGAGCTGATGCAGAAGAGAATGGACACTAGAGCTACATGAGAAAATATGACGCAGGCCATGTGCGATGTGACAGTTTACAAAGCTAATATAATCCCATTAAGTAAAGTTTATGAATGGCAATCCTCCAAATAATTAAATCCGAATGAGTTGTCATCATATGGACCAAACAGACAAGAAAGACAGCCTGCCCAACATTACAGCATCATTCATCATAGATAAGGCATAAAATATTGCATGGAAAAAAGAACATGTCTTCATGGGAAAACACAAAATTTGGAGGGTTTTAATGAGAATTATGCACTGCAAAACAAAACTGCATTCCTCTGATGACAAGGAATTAATGGCAAGATGCAGGATTAGCAGGCCAAAGCAGCTCATCCAAGCACAAAATTTTTTTTTTTTATAATTATTTTTTTCTTAATTTTTTATTTTTGGGAAGAAATGCAAAAAGAAGTAAAAAAATTGTTATAAAGTTATGATGGTCACCACGTATCTATTTTTAGCTTAAATCATAATCATCATCATCAGCTCTATTCTAAGTATAGTCTAGTTGGTTAACCTCAAATTGGATTACCGAAAGCACAACTCATAATCAAAAGTCAGATTTCTTTGGGTGCAAAAACATTGGTCAATTGCTTAGTTCAAAACAAATGAGCAGGAAGCTATAAATCCCATAACATCAAGACACCATGAAAACAGCAACTACAATTAAAAGTAAATTGAAACTAAAACAGTTCAAGACTAGATGTAGTTTTAGAGGAGGATGAACATGTAGCATATATACGACAGCTAAAATGACCTTCCTATGACACAGAGGCAAAAAAGGATTACATTCCCATGAAAAATCACTGGCATCTCCATGCTGAGACTACTGCAATCTCTTGTTGCTTCCATGACAGCATCAGGGCAGCTTCGCATTTTTCAACCTCAAAACCCCTAACTTGAGCCTTCTTCAGGAGGCAATCTGCCTGTGATTCAGCAAAGTTACTAAATTGCAGTGGTACAAATCCAGCAGAAGTAAAGAAAGTCCTCCATGGGAGCAACTTCTCTCCAGTTTTGTATCGACCAAGCAGAGAGTTCACAATCCTTGGTCGCAGCATGTACCTTTCGATCCTATCAGTTATCTCAGGGGACACACCCGATGCTTCGATGGAGTCAAGAAGAACAGTGGTCGACTGGAAGGAGTGGAGGACATGGTGGGAGAAGGAAATATCACCCCTATCATAACCAAGATTGACTGAAATCAGTATCTTCGGAGAAAGCTGCTTGATTAGGAAGAGAAGGGATTGAGTTGATAGGTGATGATGACAAAAACCAAATGCAAAATTCACAGCAATGGCGACATCAGAAGGCGAGCAAGAGAAAATTATTGAAGCAGGGTCGAAGGATTCAAAAGGTAAGAAATTGAGCTCAAAGGGGACATTAAGGTCTGCGGCAAAATGATTAAGGTTTTCATGAATTAGATGAAGTTCAACCTGGTGATGAGATGCTACAGACACAAAAGCAGTGATCCGAAGTTGTAATGGCGCGCCAGTGACAGCAGAACGCCTTTCTGACAACTCTTGAATAAGTGCAGGCCAATGGCTACCAACTCCAACATCAAAATCAATAACATGAATGACGTTCGCACCAGCAAGCTCCTCTAGAATAATCTGGGTGGATGTAAAGCTTGTGAAGAGAAGGACAGGGGAGATCTCAGCAAAGGCTTTGTAAGCACTCAGCTTCAGCAAGACGTCAAGTGGAGATCCTAGAGAAAAGCTGCATTGCTCGCTGCTTCCGTTTGAAATGGCAAGGAGTGCTTCCTTAAAATAGAACGCAGTGCGGAGAAATGGCTTCCCGGAGGGGGAGGGAAGCTGATGATTGAGCCGCGCCAATATCCTATGGGCGCTAATCGTGTTTCCAGATTCCAAAAGCTTGGCCGCCTTAAAGAGCGGATCAATGACAGCTTGCTGCTGCCAAGCAGCCTCATTAGGCAACTGCATGGGTATGGCGCCCAGGTAGGTTTGAGGCATAAAGTTCTCATGAGGGTTCTGGTTGTTGATGAAAGTGGAGTTTGCAAAGGTCGGAGCTTTGAAGCTACTGTTAGTGAATCCAGTAAAATATGGAAAGTTAGAAGGTGGAAGAGGAATCATGGGAATCAAGGAACCATCGCCTCCATTTCTTCCCATCTGTTGGAAATCAAATCCCGGATCGAAGATATCAAGCCCTATCCCACTACCTTCGAGCTTTGCGCCGGCGTTGGGGTCCGCCATAAACCAGCACACGGAACTGTGCTCCGAGCTGAGCTCTCCCGGCGGCGGTAGCGGTGGCTCTAAAATCATGGAGTCCCAACACTCCACACTTCCGAGGGCCGGGGCGGGCTTCAACTCCAGCGCCCATTGGCCTTCCGCAGAAGCCAAAACAGGCCGACATTTATGAGCAGGGTTAATGGAGATCGCCGCCAAACCGGCTGTATCGGAGGAAGATGGTGTTGATGTCGACGTCGGAGAGCTAGGGCTTCTCTGGTTATCCAGAACTGACCTGGGCTCTCCTCCCTCTTTGAACGAGCTCTTCCTCGTCCTTCTCGAGAAAAAGCCCTCCTCCTCGTCCTCTAGGTCATGAAAAAGCATACCTTTATGGCTCAGCATGCAGAAACCATCATTAAAATGATAAACTTGATTGGAGAGATTTCATGATTCGAGGAAATGGGCGAGAATAAAAAACACAGGGATCTGAGGCAGAAGAGCGCACGGACCTTTACAAAAAAAGGGAGAAAAGATGTAAGATCGACTTGTTCGCAGCCTTCTGTTTCTTCTTGTGAGATTTGCACCCGTCTTCTTACTTTTTACTTTTTCTGGACTGTTTTCCCTCAGTTCTCTCCTTCAACTTCCATCTTTGAGTTTTCCGCTTATGCGATCCTCCGCCCTAAAAACTCGGGGCATGGTG